ATTGTATGTAATGTATGTAATGTATGTAATGTATGTAATGTATGTAATGTATGTAATGTATGCATGTATGCATGTATGCATGTATGCATGTATGTATTGTATGTATGTATGTAACGTAATGTAATGTATGTAATGTATGTAATGTATGTAATGTAATGTAATCTAATGTAATGTAATGTAACGTAATGTAATGTAATGTAATGTGATGGAATGGAATGGAATGGAATGGAATGTATGTACGTACGTACGTACGTACGTATGTATGTATGCATGTATGTATGTATGTGTATGTATATATATATATATATATATGGCACAGATGCTTTGGTAATTATAAGTATTATATATAAGTTTGTTGATATGATTTGCTTCCATTTGTTCAATTCCCCCATGGATTGGGAGTGGATTGTCACTTCTGAACGGGTTGAAATAGTGGCCGAGAGCATGGGATGGTAAACCACCAACGGGTTTGCTGCTTCAAACGCTGAGAATACGCGGGATATCAGAGGATATGTTTTTTGCAAAGTTGCTCGTGATTTTCTGCAGTGTTGATGTTTGTTTGGTTGAAAATCTAGCAAAAGAAACTCCTATGGATATGGCATATGGCATGCTTGATTCATGCAAGTGTCAGGGGTTCGTTTGATTGTGAGTGATGATATTTCCATGAAGCTGTTGCCTTGCAATCATGCATACAGACTCACAGACTGATCTAAGCAGGGTTCTTCATCCATGTGGATGCATGTGGATTACAAAGCGAAGCAGAACGCATTTGCAGGCAGCTGACAAGAAACAAAAGCAGCACCAGGCTGGAAGTGGACTTGTTTGAGTGGGGATCTGGGATTGCCACAATTTTGGAGATGTCCGATGCTGACAATTCCCAAATGTTGTGTTTTCCCGGGCCAGTTTTGGGATGCACAAGCATGGTGCGGAGTCTTTCTGCGTTCAACTGCCAGCTGTCATTTCACGGGGTTACTTGTTGGTGTTAGCCCATGCAAATCTGCGTTGGATGGCCAAGTTGAGGATCAGGTGGATGATCCAGACAAACCCCCTGTTGATGCCAGACCCCTTCAGGCAGATTATTGGAAGGCCATGCAACTCCATGAGCAGAACAAGAAGTCCATGGAACCCTTTGTCACAGAGGCAGTTATCCAACCGCCTAAGCCTGCGGTGGATATAGCAGCCTTGAAGCCCCAACAAGCCCAGGCCCAACAAGCTCAGGCGCAGGCGCAAGCTGCCAAGGATCGGAAGGCCAAAGATGACTCTGACAATGAGAAAAATGTGGAGCCTGTGGTCAAGGCGACGACAGCAAGCATTCAGCAGATGGGCTTTGGGTTTGAATCTCGTTTGGTGCTTCAGTATGTTTAACAAATCATGTTTATATGTTTGGTATTTGCTCGATGTTTTCCTTTGCGGTATTATCTCAATCTGATTTTGATTTTGAGAGCGCCCATCCCCGCAGAATTGAGGACAACAGTGCTTTGAGCGCCCTCTACGGCTACAGCCTTCTACCCGGCATGGGTAGTCTGGGCCTGGTGCCTGGTGCGGGGTACTACCCCCTCAATCTGGCTGGCTATGCTGCTCCCAAGGCAGCGGCAGCAACAGCTGCAGCGGCAGCAACAGCTGCAGCTGCGACGGCTCCAACAACTGCAACTTCTGCCACAGCTGCAGCGACCGCGGCTGGAAGGGCGGCTGAAGCCCCCACCTCGTCCAAAGCAGCCGCTGAACCGCCTGCATCGCAAGAGACATTGCTCAGCGTCTCGAAGCCCAAGAGCAGCATGGCCATTCAGTCCATGCGCATGCCACCAGCCCCTGCTGCGGCAGCAACTGCAGCAGCTGCCACACCTAGCCATCCAATGACACCGCCGCCATCCAAGGCAGCAGTGCCGGCACCGGGAAGCACCCCAAGCTATCCAGCCCAAAGTCACCCACCACAACCTCCTCCCGCACCAAAGGCTCAGTCTTACTACGAGGGATCGTGGGATCAGTATGGCTACTACGGCCAGCCCAGTCATCAGTATCCTCCCAAGCAGGCCGCACAGGCCGCGCAGGGAGCTCAGGCAGCCCAGGCATCTCCTCAACCCAAGTCTGGGCAGCCGGCCTTCCCTCAGCTACAGCACCAGCATCCAGAGGCAGATCGGACCAGGCAGAGATCCGATGACGGCCAAAGGTGGCAGAAGAGCTACCATAGCCAGAGCCAGGGCCAGGCATGGCAGGGGTATGTCAACGTATGTCAACGTATTTCAAGTTGCTGAGTTGAAAGTAGACTGAGTTTGTTCCTTGGTGGTTCTTTCCTGTGCTTTCGGACTCCAAATTGAAGCTTACAGGTAGATTCTGAGGCTTTACGCATGACATCGGATGACAATACTAAGAGAAGCTTTTATGATGTTATTCCAAGATCCGTTCGTTTGCATGTGCGCAGAGGCTGTCCCACTTGTTTTAAGCCCGGCGTCATTGTTGCTTCAAATTCTTCAGGTACTTGTAGAGGAGAGCTTGGCTAGAAGCAGCGCATGCACAAATTGGAATTTGTTCTTTTGGTTCTCGGAAAATCACCATAATATCTGGGGATCAAAACCTATTATTTTCATTTATTTTCCATATTTGAAACAGATGAACATCGGTAAATCCGAGCTATTGTGGGGTTCACCAGGGGATTCCATGGGTTTTGATCCATATTCAGGCGCAGCTGGATGAGGCGGGATGACTTTTTTTGGGATGGAGTGCGGAGTTCCATGCGGCCGGGCATCCCTGGTATAATGTTATATAATGTTGCAGTGACTACCTGGGATCCCTGTAGCATCCGCTATGTTGTTCCAATGTCATCATGGAACTTCTGGTTGTCTCGTTTGCGTTTCAAGCAAACTGGTTGTTCCAGTGTGGGTTTTTGATTTAAACCCAAGAATCACCCATCTCCGATTGGGGTTTATAAAATTGACCTGGGATATAGGATGATGTTCATTCTGAACCCCTGTCATGCTTGGTTACTCGCGTGGTCTATGGTATTGGGTTTACCACATCAACCAAAAAAACAACATATAGTTGTTAAATGCTTAGACCCCCATTTACATCCCCCATTTACATACCATATCCCAACAGTTGTTGATGGTTGCCCATTTCAATCCTATGCAAAGAACTCCCGTTGATGGTTACGTTAGGATGCACCTTGGAGGAGGGTACGAGCACGTTTGGAGCCAAGAAAGTTCTGGCGTTTCGTCCCCATGAGATTCATGAGATGATGAGTTTTTGTCTGGTGAAGCAGAAGTCTTTGGATACTAGGATCCAGCAGGCTTATGTACAGTATGTGTATATACATATACATGACACAGTCTGTACATCACATTATATGTATGTATGTATGGTATGTATGGTATGTATGGTATGTAATGGTATGTAATGGTATGTAATGGTATGTAATGGTATGTAATGGTATGTAATGGTATGTAATGGTATGTAATGGTATGTAATGGTATGTAATTGTATGTAATGGTATGTAATGGTATGTAATGGTATGTAATGGTATGTAATGGTATGTAATGGTATGTAATGGTATGTAATGGTATGTAATGTTATGTAATGGTATGTAATGGTATGTAATGGTATGTAATGGTATGTAATGGTATGTAATGGTATGTAATGGTATGTAATGGCATGTAATGGTATGTAATGGTATGTAATGGTATGTAATGGTATGTAATGGTATGTAATGGTATGTAATGGTATGTAATGGTATGTCATGGTATCTAATGGTATCTCATGGTATGTAATGGATGGTATGTAATGGTATGTCACGGTATGTCATGGCATGTAATGGTATGTAATGGTATGTAATGGTATGTAATGGTATGTAATGGTATGTAATGGTATGTAATGGTATGTAATGGTATGTAATGGTATGTCATGGTATGTCATGGTATGTCATGGTATGTAATGGTATGTAATGGTATGTAATGGTATGTATGTAATGGTATGTAATGGTATGTAATGGTATGTAATGGTATGTAATGGTATGTAATGGTATGTAATGGTATGTAATGGTATGTAATGGTATGTAATGGTATGTAATGGTTATGTAATGGTATGTAATGGTATGTAATGGTATGTAATGGTATGTAATGGTATGTAATGGTATGTAATGGTATGTAATGGTATGTAATGGTATGTAACGGTATGTAATGGTATGTAATGGTATGTAATGGTATGTAATGGTATGTAATGGTATGTAATGGTATGTAATGGTATGTATGGTATGTATGGTATGTATGGTATGTATGGTATGTATGGTATGTATGGTATGTATGGTATGTATGGTATGTATGGTATGTATGGTATGAATGGTATGTATGGTATGTATGGTATGTATGGTATGTATGGCGATATTGGTAGGGATGGGAGTGGGTTTGAGTGGGAGGGAGTTACTGTAATTGGTCTTTTTTATTTGTATTGTATGGTATGG